GCACTGGACAGCAAGGTTGTCTGAATCACAAGGTCAATAGTTCAAACTTACCAGCCGCTCCTTGGAAACCCTATACAAGGTTGCTATGGGTCGGAACTGACTTGATAGTTATTGCTGTGCCGTCAAGTCAGTTCAGACTCTTAACAACCCTTTATAGGGCTTCCGAGAAGCAGCTGATGAACTTGAACTGCTGACCTTGAGGTTCAAACTGACCGTTCAGTCCATCGGGTAGACTGTGGCAGGTCCAGGACTCTCAGTGGTTTGGTAGCTGAGCTGCAGTTATAAGCCCCATGATAAGATCTAAGATCCTGTAATCAACTGTGATGCGGTCGGCTAGGTGCAGACATGCAGGCAAAGCTTGTCTGCTCTCTACTGGGTCTGGGTATTGCATCTGACTCATCTCCCAACCTCCGCTTCTCTGGACTGGGACTTACAGTATTATGAGTCATCAGTACCTGCCTGCCTGCCTGCTGTGGGACCTGCTGATCTTAGTTCATGCAGCTACGTGAGTCAAAACCCCTGAACCAGGGACTCGCCCCCCTCTAAAACTGTGGGAGCTATTAACTTCCTTAATAGAAACCCCTCTTTATTTATCCATATATAAGTTCCACTGGTTTTGCAGCCTGACAGGCTTCACAAAATACCTGGAAAAATGGAATTAAAAGATAGTGCAATTTCCCCACAAGCTTTCTGAAGCTCCTTTGCCAAAATCCAGAGCAGAAAGGACGGCCACAATGTGGTGATCTCCTACAGTGGCGTACTGTCATCGGGAGCAAAAACACATACGTCTGAAAATGGAAACCAACAAAGGAAAGACTGTCCGTGTGCCATTTCCAGGGGTGAGACCCACGTGACTCCAATGAAGAGCCTTCTAGTTGGCGCGGGCACGCAGCTTAATCCAAGTCTGAAAGAAGACTGCCAACAAAGGTACTAATGTCCATTTGTCTGCTGAGCTCTCCCTGGTCAACCAGCTCACTGTTACAGGGAGAGATTCTGTCTGGATGGGACTGCATGGTAGCGATTTTCCCAGCCCCGGAGACAAGATGCAGACCAGGAGAAGCCCTCATACAGAGCTGAGTGCTGACTGAACAGCATTCACTCACTACAGTAACCGTGGGAACTACATCAGAGACTGTTGCTGTGAAGTACCCTCGAGTTAGTTAGTATAGGGTTTCCTGTATAGGGTTACCAAGGAACGGCAGGAGAGCGCATAAACCTGCAGCGGCACCCCCAGGGTTCCTCTACTGGAGCCCACTCTCAGGGCTTTGCCTGGGCTTTCTGAGGCCACACCGGTGCTCACTCTTTCCCTCCTCCAGCCTCACACACCCACAGCTCACTGCCATGGAGGCCATTCCAGCTCAGAGCAAGCCAATAGGACACAGAGGACAGGCCCCGTCCGTCTTCCTACCATGACTGCTGGGTTCAAACTGCCAACGTTTTTGGTAGCAGTCCAGCACTTAACACAGTGTACCATCAAGACCCTTCTCAGCTTGACCGCCTTCCCAAATTCTGTGCTTTACCAGAAAGAACTTCTACCTGGGCTGTCAGGCTGAAAACAGTTTCAGGTTGATAAATTCACACTTCATTCTAGTTTCCAAAGATATGCTACCAGAATCTCAGAACTCTTGTCTTGTTGTTGATTAATTCATGCAGTTTTTACTGAAATTCTCTCTTTTTGAAAAAAACAACAACTGAGTGAAATTAGTCAGTCACAAAAGGACAAATACTGCATAGGACCACTACTGTAAAAGACTAAGAAAAAGAAACCATACTAAAAGGATGTGGATTCTTTGCTGATTGCTGGGATGTGTGTGGGGTTGGGGTTAAGGGAGTGAAGGGAAGGTGGAGCACAGGGCAGGGATTGGACACAGGAAAGTTTGAGTGCTGGGGAGGGGGAAATATACAATAAGGGAGAGGGGAATGGAAGAACAAAGCAGATGGGGAACAATTAGGTTTGCATGGGCTAAGTGGGACAGAGGTAAATAATGATATATGCACAACCTTGGAAAAACAGGGTCTGGGATGCAGAGATTGAGACATGGTTGGAATGTGAAAACGGGGGGAATAATGCCTGGCTGTCTTTTGAATCTTGGTTTTCCTTGCATTATAATACAAAATAGACACTGGAGGGGGAGAGAAAGGAATAGGCAGAAACAT